AATGAATATTCTAATATTTAAATTGAAAATATTTTATTAAATGAAACTTTAGTAATATTATCTGATTTATGAATAAAAATAATTTTATTTGATTTATGAATAAAAATTTGATTTATTCATAATGAATAAATATATAATAGGATTCTCGATATGATAAATTTATATAGATTATTATTAAAAAAAAATTATATAATAGAGATATATAATAAAACTTAAATTTTCGCTTATATCTATAGCAATGATTTTTAAGATTAGAAAATTTTATAATATAATATATTATATTTTGAATTCTCAAATTCATTTCTATTGATAGATTTGAATTAATTATTTATGTGATCTATTGAATAATATCGAGAATCACATAGAGCAATGCATACAGAGAGAGACGATTAGAGAGCCCGATAAATAAATCGATAGAGCGATAGCTATAAATATATTTTCAGAAATATATATATATATATATTTTTTCATATAAAAAGATAATAGATTCGCCTATATGCATAGAGACATACCCAAATATATAGAGAGACACACAGAGACACCCGCATTTAGAAAGCACTGTACTGGAACTCGCGGACTTAAATTTTCGGAAATTTTATTACCTAGGGCATGTCCTAAAAAATTCGGAAATGTTATGACCGCGAGCATGCCTACCTAATATTTCGGAAATTTTAGCACCATATCTCCTTCAAATTCCCAAGTTCTGAAATTTTAATATCGCCAGACTTCCCAAAGCTACCAAAATTTCGGCAATAACAATAGCGAGACAGAAGTACTCCCGGTTTTAGGATCACGAGACAGGCACATAAGAGGCTTTCAAGAGGAAGCGAGCTAAAAAGCGGAAGTTAGAAGCGCCAGGGGCGCGCCCAAAAAAGCGGGGATAATTAGCATGATATTAATTTATTAAAGAATATTTTATTCAAGAATATAATTACATAATTTAGAAAAATAAAAAAATATATATATATCTCATATTCTATATATATTATCTTGAGAATCTCCTCTGGAATATATGAAAGATATCTTATAAATAAAGATTTATATAGGAAAAATTAGGAAGAGTCCAATATCTGTTAATTTATAAAATAAGGATACTTACACAAGAAATAAAAATAAAAGAGAATAACCTATAGAATACCTTAAAAAATATTATTTCTTCAAATTTTATAGAAATTCTTTATAAAAGACGGAACTATCTTTTCGAATGTTCCCTATATATATTATATATTCCTTCTTATATAATAATCATATAAATCCTATGAAATATCTCAAATTATCCTATTTATTTTGTTCAGATAAAATATTCATATAAGAAAGATCGAGAGGAGGTCAAGCTCTGAGGATTCCCCAATTCAAGCATTTATTAGGAAAGAGACTCATATGAAAGATATATAGAATCTAAAATCTAAGAACCTCTTGGGCAGATCGAAATTTAGTTAATAAGCCATATATCTAGAGAAAAAAATATAGAATATATTTTATAAATTCCCCAATATACCCTACCTATACCTTCTAGAATATCATTTAATATATCCTAGGTAATATCTTATCACCTTTTTTTTTGTAGCATTTATAAACCTTCTATACCTCATTTCCTTTACAACCTCTTATAGAAATATTCCATGAAAGATCTTGAATAAATAAAAGAAAAATCTCAATTAAATCCTAGCTCCTAGATATGAAATACCTATATGGAAAATAATTAAATCAATAATAAAAAAAATAATTATATAATAAGATACCTCTTCTACATATCTTAGAAAATTCATTTATGTATAATATATCGTCTTAAATATAAGGTATAATTTATTTTTTTAACCTTTTATAGATTATCTTTATTCTATTTTCTAGAAAATACCTCCTATAGAATATCATCTAGAATACCCTTTAATAGAATATATTAGAGAAGATCACTTAAATAAAAAATTTCTATGACAGAAAAAAATTCATAAAATATCTTCTAGAATATCATTTCTAATATCCTTTAGAAAATTTTATACAATACCTATAGCATCCCCTATAGACAACGACTTAAATTAAGAAAATCAAGAAGAATCCTTTATTTACTAGCCTAAAAGAATAATCGAAAAAATATAACGAAAATTTAGAAAATAATTTATTTAATTATTATAAGAAAAATATATAAAGAAAATATATATTTATATTTATTATCAAATTAGATAATCTATAATTCGATCTTTATTATATCGATAATAGATCTTCTAAAATAATTGGGATCGAAATATAAGAATCAATAAATTCAATATATCCAACAAATCGAATAATTATTTGTTATTTATCTTCTAAACGAATTATTCTTTATTTATCGTGCAAGAAATCTATATTTAAATCTATTGTATGAATATGGTCGAGATCCAAATCGATGGTAGGATTGCCCCGCAATATGGGATAGTAGAATTCGGTCTCGTTTCTTGAAGGGTTAGCAGATTGGATTTGTTTTATCGTTCTGTTGATGAGTCATTGGCGTTCATTCCCATTCATCTATATAGTAATGAATGCCATTTGCAGGGGTGAAGGACGTCCCACCTCAGCTAGCGAGACGAGTGCGATCCGGCAACCAGCCGCATGCATGCAACGCCACGGAAAGAAAGGGGCCAAGACGTATCCTGGCAATGAAGTCGAACATGTTGTTCCTGGGCCACGAACCGCATCTCGATATACTAGACACTAAACCAAGCGATAGCATTCCCACATGCCGTCCAGCTTCATTGCAGCATCTTTGCTCGGCATGGGATGGTCTGTTGTATACCTTCGGATCATCTAACACACACTGCTAGACATCGCGAGTCTAACTCCAACAATATCTGCGACACTCCTTTACGTAGCCAAACAAGCCAAATAGGGGAATACACTGCGGGCGCGGGGCATCACCCAGTCATGGAACATGCCTTCATGGAGCCATGCCTCCATGGGTACCTTACGGAGAGATGCATCTGTCGTGACAGGCAGGAAGTGTGGTCTGCACCCTGCCTTGCCCCGAAGTCGCTCAGCAAAGTCCAGGACCTCCAATGGCAAAACAAGCTTCTCTCAGCCGCGGTTGCAAAACAAGCAGTGGGCCTCGCCACTCAGCGTCTCTGCTGCACCAGCACAAATCCACATCTGGGCCGAATCACACGGATACCGGCTGCGCCGTAACACTGGATAAGGGAAGAGGGTCAGCCTGTGTTGATTCACCACGCTGCAGAAGATGCTGCCAAAATACCGGAGTCTGCAGCTTGGCAAGCTTGGCTACAAGGTCAGACTCGAGGTTGCGCACCAGCCAGTATGGGCTGAAGATAGCATCCTCCCGGAAAGCTAGTGAGCAACATACTGTAACATACTGCATTCAACATCAAAAGCTGGCCTTGAGAAGCCCTGATGATCCGGTGTATGTCATGGCCATACCTTTCGACTCACCATCTCACAGTACCCAACATTACTGACCCGAAACAGGAAGGGGCGGGAGGGATCGGCAGGAAGCGTGCTGCCAACGGTGCGACGGAAAGATGCTCTGTTGTCATCGGCATGCTCCCGGAAGGCGAGATCGCCGGTGTCGGCCTCCTCTGCATAGGCGTTGCTCACCTTAATTTGGGTGAAAGTCCTCTGCACAGGACCAGCAAGTAATAGCCGTGCGAAACTGCTAGGTATGACACCTGACATACGGCTATGAAGAAAATCTCGTGGCGATCGACAGGGCTAATGACGCTTAGCTCTTACGCGAAACAGTGACCACATCTGAAGGGACTGCAGTCTTCTTTCCGTGTTGTGCCAGGCTTCATAGGTGTGGCTTCCACAGCTCAGGTCAAGCCATGGTGAAATCAGCACCAGTCCACAGAGTGAGGCTGTCAGCTCGGTGTCGTCTTGTTCCAGCGCACGCAATGCAATTGAAAGCGCCTGTGCTTTCCAAGATTCAAGGCATGCCAATATAAGAAGCTGTCGCAAAAACTGATAGAGTCTGAAAGAATGAAAGAAAGGCTCTGTTTGGAGTGCTAAGTCGAGACCTGCGTAGCTCCAGCGGAGTCTCCAGCCAGGATCAGCTTCGGGGAAGCTTTCCTTCGCTCCTTTGTCACGGGGTCGAACCGCAGTAGCCACCGTAAACCTGTTGCATGTCTGATCTGATCCGCCACTTAGTCATAGTCTTAGGTCACCGTTTCTTGACATTCAAATTCTTTGCACTAACGAACACGTGTATCATTCGTTGATGCTCTCGCCGGCAGACCTTTCAGCAGCACGTCGATGATTTCCGGTGCTTTAAACGGCCGGCTCTCCCCGGACAGAGGATGATCCGGACATACCACCACAAGGCCTCGCGAGCGACAAGCAAAGAGATTCCGTGGGCACACCTTCCAGCATTACCACAGACCTGCTGTGCAACCAACCGCATTGCCCAGCAGGATGCAGCAGGACAAGACACAAAGACACAGGGCTGCTCCGCACTGTATGTTGAAATGCTCCGTGCCTGAACCTGCTGCTACTCGCGAGCAAAGGCTGTCATAGCCATCTTCCAGCGGGGAGCCATACTCGAATCCCCCACCGTGTACGAAGTATATACCTCGGGCTCGGGGCTACCAAACTGTTCATCTGGATCCCACACTGGTTATCTTCTACTGTGGCTTCTTGCTGACCCTTCCTCAAGAGCAACTCAGGAGCAATGAGAATCGCTCCGGACGGAGGAGGGCACAAAAGCAATCGCACCACCGCGCCCGGTGTCCTTCCGTCACGAGTTGCAAAACGCGGGCCCTTGGAACGGAGTAGTTACAGAGGAGCCGAGGTCCTCCGCTGTGCTGTCGACCCAGGTAGGCCACTCGGCCGAACCCATGTCCTCGATGTCCGGATACAATCCTGCTTCAAAGCTGGTCACCGACGCAGTGTGTGCCTCGTCTCTATCTCAGCTGTGTCTCTCTGTGCCCGCCTGTCTTAGGCTGCATGTCCGTCTGTTTGCGCACACGTGACTTTCAACTCAACTCGCAACTGCTACTTGCAGTCAGCTCCTGCTTCCGGAAGTTCGAGTTTGCGCACATCGGCTGCAAAGCCACGTTGTAGGTGCACATCATCTGCCGTACCAGCCTCGAGGCATTTGCAGGGCCATCATAGCAAGCATTTAGCAGAGGCACGAAACGTCTGTCAGCTCCCTGATCACCCGAGTGACTGCTCTCTGTAGCACCGCTTGCAACCCAGATGAACGTTGCGACCCCAAGAACCCTGTTGAAGACAAAAATCATCCCTCTTGCCAGATTGCGGCGAATGCCGCAGCAAGAACTGCCAAGGCAGGTTGATCACGATGACGAGCTGACTTTGTGCAACTGCCTCGCACTAGGGGCATGGCGTAGGATGGCCATTGGTTCTGGATCACGACATCCGTAGCTAACTACAGTAGCTGCAGGCCAGGAGGCTGTCTCTAGGTTTTTCTGCCGGCTTCGTATCCGCGTTGGACTCGGCAGCTACCTTCTTGCTTTGCAGTTCTTCCACGGCAGGAACAGGCTGGCCTTTTGGCGTTCCAGTCGGCTCAGGTGTCTTTAAATCGTTCGGCGAGTCTGTAGGGGGGCTCGCGGTGGCTCCCGCTGGGCTTGGTGCACTTCTTGGCGAAGTTGTGGAGGAAGCCTCACTCTCCGGTCGCGTCTCCTCAGAGGTTTCAGGCTCCTGCTCTGCTTGGGCTGGGGCCTGGGCCACTGCCAAAGACTGGCCGAGGACTTGTAAAGGGTGGACGGGGCCAGGCTGTGGCACTGGCACAGGGTTTGCAGCATTTACGGGGCGGAGAGGTTGGACACCTGCAGGCGCAGCTGGGATCGGCTGCTTTGGCACGACCGGCACTGGCCTGACAACGGGCATGCCTGGATGGCCTGCAAGGGGGGAAGTCACCGTGCCAGGAGCCACGCTCCATCGCACGGGCCGAGGCAAAGGCGCCGTCGCTTGAGTGACACCCGGGACGCCCGGACGGACGCCCGGGACACCCGGGACGCCCGGCACGCCCGGCACGCCCGGACGGGGAGCGCCGGCAACTTGAACTTGAACTGCTGGAACTGGTGCACGGACGTGGTAGGGAACTGAACCCACGGGATGTGCAGCTGGGCGCACTATCGAAGTGAGGCGCTTCTGCAGGCCTTGCCCAGGACCAGGAGGCGCTCCAGGAGGCGACTGCAAAGAGTAGGTAGACATGCCATCGGAACACAAACAGCCGAACTTGAATGACTTGAGCCGTTTCAGAATTCCAGCGACCAAGGCTATCATGGCGGCACGTGAAGACCTGACTGAATCGGGCAGTGTCAGAAAACTCTATAGGCTCTATCGCATTTCACCATGGCTTCGCCGCAACTTGCAGACCAGCTATGAAACTTGCTGGAGCTGGGCAGTTCGCAGCGCTGCAGTGTCGAAGGTTTCCCTTGGCCTAGCCTAGTTGTGAACCCAAGCCACTGCCCCCTTGACCGTGTGCTGCTCCACTGCCTTATCATTGCAATTTTCCCCTACCATGAGATGGGTTTGCCAGCGCCACGGAGCTGCACCGAAACAGCACATAATTGCTTAAAGAAGTGGCGATCGTGGTCGCCAGGCTCTGCGCATGTTTGCTAGGAACACAAGCCAGAACGCAAAGACCGCGAGCTACTGCATTAACCGTCTGGGCCTGCCAACATTTATTGACAGACCCCAGACTTGGGGGGCAGCGTCCGTCGGGCTGCTCACACCTTGCCAACACATTGGTTCCAATCACGTCCCAGGCTCGCGAAGAAAATCCTGCCAAAGGCACGAAAATCACCTTCTTCCACTTCAACCGGGACCTCAGTTCGCCAGGAAGCGGGGTTTTCGCTTCGCTTGCTGTGCCGGGGGGAAGACTCGAAATCAAAGGCCGCCTCCCGCACAAGCCTGCAGCTCGGAAAAGCACTGCGCTGGCAGACACATGACTAGCTGCGCCCAACTCCCAAAAGGCGCCAGCACACTGGCTCTGCTAAGATGGCAGCTGTGTCAGCTGCTGCAGTCGCAGCTCTGATATGTACAATGGCCGGGACAGGTTGTACCTCAGGCACGTCTCACGGTACGAAGCATCCTTGCAGCATCGCAATCGGGATCTGGGCTCTTCCTCTCCATGCCCATCCAGGTAAAGCGAGCCCCAACCTCTTGAAGGAACTGCCATGCACGGCCGTTTTTGCTCCGACGTGTCGCGTAAGGCTCGCCACACGTAATGAGACCGTCGGACACGATGTGCACTAGCCTCAGCCGGGCAACTGAGAGCTGAAGGGGGCTGAGACAGCGAAGACTTGTAGGGCACCGTGGTGTAAGGGCAGGACGAGTTGGAGAGCTGCAAGAAAATACACGTCCCAAAGCCACAGACCTCTGAGAGGGAGAGGTGGGAGAATTCGAAATTCGCAGCCGCCGCCTGCGCATGCTGCGTCACTTCCCCCATCATCTGACCTCCTTCACCTTCTCTCCTGCAGCACCTCAATTCAATCAGCTCAACCTAAACATGGCCACGTGGAACAGCTGTGTCCCGAAGCATCTATGAGTTCTGGGTGCCCGGCTCCGAGTTGCAGCACAGGAAAGTACCACAAAGCAGGCACAGCGTGGGGATCGAACTGCGACAGGCTAGGGCGGCTGGGACCAGGAGTCTCAATCTGGACAAGTGCTCAGGACCAGGCGATGTAGTGGTGCACACCTGCTGGAATGCTCTGCGCAGTTGTCATCACGAACTGTCGTGATCATAATCATTGCTGTTGTCGTCAGTATGACCTTCAAGATGTTCAAGTTTGCCAACACAGTCCTCAACTCGTCCAAAAAAATCTTCAGCAACAGCAAAACATGCGGATAAGCATGGCCGCCTTCTTCGTCGCTAAGACTATGTGCTGTAAACGTCGCTGTTTGTGCGACAACCTAGTCGTCTTGTGGATCGATGTGAATGCAAAGTGCATTGGATCTTTGGTTCGCGGCGTTCGACTCGGCTTTGAGACTGAGCATGGGCTTTCGAATCGTCCACTGCATGGCAGCTCACTCCCCCTGACCCATCCTACGACAAGTCACCACACAGTACCCTTAAAGAGGACATGCTGGGAACATGGCCGGGCAGCGCGCATGCACAAACCTCGAAAATCTTCGCAAGTTGCACAGAAGCTTGTGATAGGAGCAGACTGTGCACAAGGTTCACAGGTGCCGACTGTGTGTAAAACTTTTGGTAAACTTTGCCAGTGATCACAGGCCTGGTCAAGTCACGCCGTACTCGCACCATGCTACCAAGATCCACCGATCTGAGCGCATTGCAAGGAGAGCCGATAAGCCACCTCAGTGGGCTCAATCGATCAATCATGTGCGTGGTTGCTTTCTCCGGGCTCAACTTGGAAGGACAAGGACCATGTTGTACATACTTGCAGGCTTGAAGCAGATTGCACAACTGCTCAAATTTATTCATAGGCTCCGAGTACAGTACCCCCAATGTAGCCGAGGCCATCGCACAGTATAGCCGACCCGTGACGTTCGCTGGAAAGGTGTTGGGGCTCAACTCCACGAACTCCTGCTGCAACAATCCGGCGCGCCGGCAAAGCACTACCGCACGGCAACCCCAAACCTCGGACGTTTCAAACGATTGCCTAGAGTGGAGACACCTGGCATGCTCTGTGCATCAAGTGACGCCTCTACGCGGGTTGTCAATCTTGCAGACAGGCGGACGCCTTAAATGCCCCTGGGGCTCGAATCCCGTGCAGACGCCAAAATGGATCGTCGGTTCCTTGATGTCACGCCATTGACCGCGAAATTGGCATGCAAACCAGTGGAGGCGCGAATAGAGGCTGGCTGAGATTGATGCGTGCTAAAAACTCGGTAACGCCGGCCGCGGTTTGGTGACAGTTTTTACCTAAGAGTGCTAAATGTTGGAAAAATCGGCCCTTGGAAGAAACTGTTGCTGAGGCAGTAGGACAGAGTGACTCAGAAGGGGGTCGTCTTTTGCAGCCACCCGGCTGTGGAGAAACACACAGTCTGCAAAGCAGTTTCGGAAAATGCTGCCAGTGCTCGCTTCGCGAAGACATCCCCTCGTTCTTCTACTGTTCAGGTCTGGAAGTAAAGTTTAAGGGCCCAGGCTTGAGTTGGGTCGGATGTAAGGAACTTTGCGGATTCAGAGGTATTGCAGTAGTATACTCTATGAAAATGCCCTATGCTACTGCGGGGGCACCGTCAGGTTGAAACACTCACTCTAATCCGTAATCTCGAGGCTGCGTGAGGTCGAAATCTGGCGAACCCCCCCCCCCGCACCCCAACCACCCCCCCCCCACTCAACTCCCCTCCCAGACCGCACCCTCCCGGTCACACACATGGCGTTGTCACCAAAACTCCGATTGATCGCCTCCGACGCCATTCGGAGTTCGCAAATCGCTGAGGCCAGCGAAATGGTGCTCACCCCTGGCGCCTGAAATCGGCGCTCGAAATCGCCGAGGCCGAAAACAATTTGAGTTCACCCGCTGACGCCTGAAATATCCCTGCCGCCCGGAATCGACATTCGAAGTTGTTGGAAAGTGGGACTACTTTCCCGTATCGCTTCGAGCTCATGGCTGCCAGCCTCACAACCACTAGCTTGAAGTCGTGAAAAGCCGGCAGAGGACACCTCGCGCGACAGGCGCCCACAGAAATCACAGACTTGAAGAACACCTGTGTGGATTCAAGCTATGCGGCGATTGCCTGCCACACATGCATGGGAGCTTCAGCAATTTCCGCATCGTCGACAAGAACCAACCTTCGTCTGTCAGCCACTATCTGTGTCACATGCTATTCGTGCACATCTTCGCAGGTGCAATGTTCTCTGCTGCAGGTTGTGTACCACAGCAGCACACCAGCCTACATTCCTGTCAGATAGCAAGGGCTGGGCAATAAAGGCGACCGCGGCTGAAGTCCTGAACGAAATGCTGTGTGTTAAGCCACTTAGAAACAGTTGTCAAGTGATACTCAAGCCAGCAGCACACAGCAATAATGATCACGACAATGCTGGTGCCGTATGTAGCCACATACCTACATACATACATCCATAAAACCATGCATGCATGCATGCATGCATGCATGCATGCATGCATACATAAATTTGCATACATACATGTTCTAACCCCCCCCGAATCTGCACGTCCAACCCAACTGTGTTCTGCCCTTCTTTTTCGCAACCCTGGAGCAGGAATGAGCCTCAGAGTATTGCCATCAGCGTTCTTCTCGCAGCACCCACCCACCCACGAACGCGATGATGGAAAGACGGGTTAACACAGGAATAATGTATCAAAGTATTGTTCTTCATGTTCCTAATTATCTAGGTATATGAACTAAGTGCGGCTCCAAACCATCAGGCCTCACATAATGCACGTATGCAAAAGTTGCCAGCATCATGCCTGCTATTTAACATTCGGTTACGATGCCGTGTTGTTGCTGTTAGACCTAATATGAAACTAGCTTGGTCGCATACCTACATACTGCTCATCGAAGACTCATGTATGTGAGACTTGCATGTGTGAGTTACCAATCCCTGCTATCTAATGTTCAAACAATAATAGCTATGATTGCTCCTGTTTTCGTTAACGAGAAGCTCATATTGAATCGGCATGTGTTACACATTTCTTAGCGTTTTCGCTTATTTGGCTAGTCGGTGCACTGATACAAATGAGATAGATAACCATTCAGCAGTTAAGTATTAATTCATTTGTGGATAAAACGACCGTTCACTTCATTCATGAAAAGATACAAAGCAATGCGAATCTGCGTACCAAGGATTCAGTAGTCCCGAAGTCCTAAAACGCTATGTACATAACAAGATGTAGTAAACACAACCTACATACTAGTGAAATGTTCATAAGATGAACTTCACACTTTGCCGAATATCAAAGCAAACCTGTTTACCTTGAGTTAAGTGTTTAGGTAAACCATCCGCGCGATATTTCATTGGCAATTTCAGCCTGCTCTTGTGATCCAACATTCAGGAAAGCTCGCTCATCGCTGGATAGATTTGAAGTTTATGCCACTGAAATGTTCACTAAGTTTATGTTGAAAACACAAGTTAGACGCGTAGAATTGGCATAGTTTGTAGATGTTTGTAGGCTAATTCAATTCTTCCATTGTGTGTAGAATGGGAATTTGACATAGGTATACTAAAGTATTGAACAAATATGTGGTGCCAAATTTACGGGTATCTTGCCTGCAGTTGTGGTGTCTTGGTAAGCCAGCGTTGGGGCACGTTGCGGGGGATGGCGAATATGCATTTCTAAGTATGTTCATACCCA